TTTCAAAAATTTTACCGAACTTAGAGGAAAACGCAGTAATTGTGTTGGATAATGCGCCTTATCATTCTCGAAGAATGGAGAAGGTCCCAACAACGGCTTCAAGGAAAGGTGATGTTCAAAATTGGCTCCGCTCGAAAAATATCAACTTTGAAGAAGCAATGCTGAAAGTACAATTATTAAGAATTGTCAAGGATCACAAGGCGGAATATCAAAAATACGCCATTGACGAAATGGCAGCAAGTCAAATAAAACTGTGCTCCGTTTACGTCCATACCATTGCGAGCTCAATCCCATTGAGCTCATATTTTAGAGGAACAAGTCGAGCCATTCATTATTGACGTTGGTGCTTCAGGCAGTAGCGATGATTTTAAGAGATATACGATTATTTTTAATTTAGGCTAATTTAAACGCCATTTTGAGATTATATTCGACTGTATTTCACCAAACATCAGGCGGCATCCGAAGCTGGAAATCGAAGCGAAAATTTTGAAACCCTTATGTATATTTACATCATTATATATTTCTTACCCCACCCCACATGATCCTATATCCATCACCAATACACATCGAATTGTGCTAATTTACTACAAAGTTACGCAAAGCAGCATCTACTATCTAAAATATGTACTGCGTGACTCTTAATACGTCCCTGCCGAATGTTACAGCGTTCGATGATCACGTGGTCTTGTTTATGTCCGGTCTATCTCTTATCTGAATATACTGTACAGTGTGGTAGACATACGAGAGCGGTCCGATAAGTACTTTTTCATGGCGACGGCGGATGGTGGAAGAACACTTTTTCTTCGCCAAGCATACTAGAGCACAGTGACCGTTTTGCCCATCTCCTTATAGTCGATGTAGTCGTATAGTTGATTTTTCTTGCGATAGTGGCGCCATCGGGCGGTAAGGCTCTTGTGAGTGCATCAATAACGATCCTCCACTGTGACTCTTTGGTCTATTGTGGCTCACACCTGTTTATATTTCCCAAATCCCGAGGAAGTCGATCAACTTGGAGTACTACGTCTCCAAGTATGTTGTACGAGTACCTGATTCTGTTGCAGGTCATCTGCAGAGTACATGCCTAACCGTTTCATCTCCCTCCATGCGCGTCTTCCGCCACGCCCAGCCTGCTCATGTGGTGACGCAATTTGCAATGACCAGTCTACTAGAGCTTCGAGGCTATGTCTGTTCAGCAAAGAGTCTGTTACCTTCTTTTTCAAGATTGGTATAGTTGCCTTAGCATGGGTTAGCTCTGCTAATCCCTCTCAGTATTGATGGATCTTTCTGTCCATCTCTGCAGAGATTATTGTATGCGATCACAATCGCTGGCTCAGGCCCTACGAAGGGTGTGCTAGCCCTACTCTTTACCAGAGTGTCATCTGTCTCGTTTCCCTCTAGAGCTGTGAGTCCGGTATTCATATGAAACGGACTTCATTTCCCTTCCCTGCGCCACCTAGAGCTTCTTTGCAATTCCACACTAATTTCGATGTCGAGTAGGTGGAGTTAAGTGCTTTAAGTGCGGCTTGACTATCTGAAAAATAATTATAGTTCTGTGTCTCGGTTGTCGAACTGCGATCATTCTGGCATCCAGTTATACAGGGTGTTTCAGTTTATTGTTGCATAACTTTAAGATTCGATAGAACTTTTAAAATTAATGCATAAAGTCTATATAAACATGAGTCGAAAAATGCGTGGCTTCCGAAATGCAGGATGTTTAAATTTACTTTCTAAAATATTTCGAACAATATTCGATGTATAACAATGAAAATTGGTATACAAGAGCTTTTTGGTACGACAAAACGAACATGGGCATAGTTTTACTTTAGCCGCTAGAGGGCGCTCTCTACTGTACCAGTAGTGTATTAAAATGACCGAAAATTTTTTCTTACTGCAATTTTTGCTTTTTGAACAAAAAAAAACTGATTCTTCGTACTTTTCTGCATAAAAAAGCTCTCCTGTGAGTTTTCGTTACATTTAGCCGTTTTTGAGATATTTCGATTTTTAAGGTTCGATGCATTTTTAATCATTTATGGGAAAATAATATTTTTTTTACATTTTCGATTTGGGCATTACAAGTAATTAAGATGATCGTTTAGATTGTGTTTTTAAACACAGCAATAATTCCTAACTCCAAATAAACACAAAAAAACAGAATATTAATTTGTTTAATTTTCCAATATTATTTCTAACAAATTAAATTAATTATTTACAACTAAAATGCTATTGGATAGTTAGGAGAAACATACAAAATCTAAAGTAGTTGCTCGAAATGTAAACCCAATTGTTCAATACACAATTCACATCTACGAATGATCGAACGTGGTATATAGCATTATTCAAATAAGGCCTTATTTCATCACATGCATTCCTGATTCTGTCTATTAGCATATCTCTTGTGGTTACGGGAGTCTGGTACACTTTTCCTTTTACAAATCCCCACACAAAGAAATCTAATGGATTTAGGTCAGGGGATCGTGGAGGCCAGGCAACTGGTCCTCCATGGCCGATCCATCTTTCTAGATAATTTTCGTCTAACTATTCTCGAATAATGAGCTGGACAACCATCAAGCTGGAACCAGGCCAATCTTCTTAAATCTAACATAACAACATCCCACATATTTGCATGTTCATCCTTTAAAGATTCCAAGAAGGTCGCAGCTTTTAACCTTGCAGGCAAAAGGTAGGGTCCAAATTGTCGATTACGGTAGATACCAATCCACACGTTCACACTAAATTCATGCTGAAAATTTTTTTCCCGAACTGCATGCGGATTTTCATGCGACCAAATATGTTGATTATGAAAATTTACCACTCCACGTCTAGTGAAGCATGACTCATCGGTCCATAAAACGTTACTTAAAAACTCCCTATTATTATCAGTTCTATCATGAATCCACTGACAAAATGTGATTCTTCGTTCTCCGTCCCCAGGCTGTAGTCCTTGCACAGGTTGCAAATGGTAAGGACGTCTATGTTCATTTCTAAGAACACGGTGAACATGGCTTGCTGAAATTCCCAAGGCACCAGAAACTCTCCTAACACTTGTGGTCGGATCTCTATCAAACTCACGCAGAATCATACGGGTAAATCTGCGGTGACGAACATTTATGTTTTGATCCCATTGGAGATTTCCAAAACCATTTTCAATTATTTGGCGATGCACTCTTACAAATACTGAGCGAGTTGGATGTCGTCTGTTTGGAAATCTTCGTGCGTATTCTCTGGCTGCTTCTGCTGCGTTTCCATTTACAAAGCCATACACAAAATGAATATCCGCTAACTCTTGATTGGAGAATAAAAATGGCATTTTTATAAAACTTACAAAAAAAAAACAGGTAAAAGAAACTAAATTTCGTGCATTCACAATTGCACAGACAACAGAACTAACTGTCAACTAATTGACGTTTAACCTTATTCTGCTTTCAATTTCAAAAATATTTGCTGGCACAGCCTACTTCTAAAATTATCGAGATACTGACTTTTTAACGTTATTTTATCATAAATAATTAAAATGCATTGAACCCTAAAAATCGAAATATCTCAAAAACGACTAACTATAACGAACATTTTCAAGAGAGCTTTTTTATGTTGAAAAGTGCGAAGAATCAGTTTTTTTATTCCAGAAGCAAAAAATTGCACTAAGAAATTTTTTGTCGGTCATTTTAATACACTACAGGTACACTAGAGAGCGCCCTCTAGCGGCTACAGTAAAACTATGACCATGGTTCGTTTTGTCGCACCAAAAAACCCTTGTATACCAATTTTCACTGTTATACATCAAATATTGTTCGAAATGTTTAAAAAAAATTATTTTCAAAAGTAAACACCCTGTATTTCGGAAGCCACGCATTTTTCGACCCATGTTTATATAGACTTTATGCATTAATTTTAAAATTTCTATCGAATCTTAAAGTTATGCAACAATAAACTGAAACACCCTGTATAGAGTATAGCTCTGCCTGGAAGATCGATGCCCAGGTTCCTAGGCTAACAGATTTTTTAATCTTTACCTTCGGCACGAAGATACCAGCTCAAACACTACCTCGGTCTGTGTATGCACAGATATCTCTCCTTATCAGGTTAACTTGTTGTTCCTCTGTGGAATTGTCACTGAGTAGGGTTAAGCATATCTTGTTATCTTTAGCATTATATCAGAAGGAATTCGCAGACTGTGGTCGTTTTGTAAGTCCACCAGCGTGTCCAGGTATATGTGCAAGGGGTAAATTAAGAAGGAACCCCATAGCTGCAGTTGGTGTGGTACGAAAGGCACCAGTGATCAACAAACAAGCTTCTCTCTGTATTGTGCTTAGTTCTTTGTGCTGCCTTGCCCCACCAAGCTACAGATCCATAGGTTATCATAGATCTAATAACCATTATTCAGGCTAACTTATCGTAAAATCTACTACATTGGACCCCCGATAATCCCGCCCCTGTCTAATCCGGCGACCCCTGTAATCCGACATGTCTTTGAATATGTATTACATACATACGTATTTGACAATCTTCGCTAATGTAGATCACGCAGGTTTGAACAGGTTACAACTTGTACGCGCCACCGCTATCGTGCTCGACGCGTAAGCATTGTTTTACTTAGTTTGAATTTGACTACTTTTCAATTTGAAGAATTAGGTCTCGTGCCTTCACTTCTTGTTTCCACGTACAAAGCAGAATCTGTCTATACTGGGCCAGCTGCAGCCTATGTAATAGTCCAGCTGCCCACATGTTGACGAATTTCGAAGTTTAATTTGAACTAAAAAATGTATAAATTGCCTCTTAAAAATCTTATGACCAGTTATTTTCATTATGGGAACACGATGAGGTTCACTGCAATATTTAAATAACAACGCATGTAATAAAAGTTTTGGCACAACATTCACCGGCTGTAATTTTAACAAATAGGGAATTAATTTTGACTCTGCTTTGTATTTCTAATGTATATACGCTACCAAATAACGATAAACGATAGTGTGTATATTAACGCCAGCTATCCCTTGTTACAGAAATATCATTCTGTTGAGTCACAGTGCCAGGTAAGGATCTATCTAAAAAATATAAGCATGCGCACCACCGTTTGTTTCATTTTGTCGATGTATTAACGAATGTTACCAGCTTTGTTTTGTTTCAATCACAAAGCACACTACAGGCAACAACACCACACATTTTTTCACACTGCCATCGCAACTCATCGTACAAAAGACTCTCTCAAGGCCCGTCATCAATCCGCACAACGAGTTTTCTCAATTGTTATAATTTGATCATGTTTATCGGACATTTTTTGTACGAACTAGAACGATAATTTACTTAGTACCTGTGTGTAGACGTACAACTTTGAGTCCTAATAGACGCTTATTTATAGAGCATCTTTATTGTCAGGAAGGTATTATTGTTTATAATACATCTCAGGTCGGGAAAAATCTCGTACCGGAATATTAAATTTGTTATTGCACCGTTTTCTACTTTCATATCCTACTCAAATATACTAAGTGACATATAAATCCGAACACCCAGTTTAAATGGTTTTATTTTAATAAAAGTTTTGAATGTATTTATCTTACTGTAAATAACAAGTGAAAAAATTGTCAGTCTTATCAGTTGGACATGCCGGTTTTTATACTGCTTTTTTTAATTCACTAACGCTCTAAAAATGAATATTTCAGCCGCAGTTAAGAATCAACGTTGGCGGATTTTGGTTCTTGACATCCTTTACGATCGGTTAAGATGCCTAGAGTACGGAGACCTGTACGATTTCGTCAACTTAGTGAGTTTGATAGGGGCCGTATAGTGGGACTTCGGGAAGCTGGACTTTCTTTTCGGGCAATTGCAGTTAGAGTGCAAAGAAGTGTAGACAATGTGGTTAGGTGTTGTCAGGCATGGCTTCGAGAAGGCCGTACGCAAAGAGCAAGGGGCACTGGACGCCGCCGTAGAACAACAGACCGTGAAGATCGCCGCCTAAGATTATTGGCCTTAAGGGACCGTTTCTCCACTACCAGGTCCATTGCAAATGAATGGTTTGCAGACCACGGAAGACCTATTGGCATGCGAAGTGTTTACCGACGAATGAGAAGTTTTGGCTTGTTTTCATACCGGCCACACTGGGTCCTCCCTTTAACTCGAGAACACCGACGTAATCGCCTTGAGTGGTGCAGACAACGGTCACTCTGGGATCAGGAATGGAACAGTATTGTCTTTAGTGACGAGTCTCGATTTTGTTTAGGCATGCACGATGGTCGTGCCAGGGTTAGAAGGCGACGTGGCGAAAGGAGGAATCCACAGTTTTTTGTTGAAAGACATGTTGATCACACTGTTGGAGTTATGGTTTGGGGTGCTATAGCTTATGGTTCCAGGTCACCTTTAATCTTCATCAGAGTAACATGAACGCGCAGCGTTATATCCACGAAGTTCTAGAACCCCATCTTTTACCCTATCTTGACACCGTGACAGATCCAACTTTCCAACAAGATAATGCCCGACCACATGTTGCAAGAGTCACAATAGACTTCTTTCAACATAATGATGGCACATTGTTACCATGGCCACCAAGATCTCCCGACTTATCCCCAATTGAGCACGTGTGGGATATGATGGGTAGGAGATTGCTCAATTTGCAACGTCCTCCTCAGACTCTAGAAGCACTTCGAGAGGAGTTGGTGGTTGCCTGGAATGAGATACCACAGGAGGACATTGACCACCTGATCAGAAGCATGCCTAGGCGCGTTGGAGAATGCGTAGCACATCAGGGTGCATCCACACATTATTAAAGGTCAAAGGGCTTTAAAGCAGTGCAATCATTTTGATATTTTTATCATTTACTTATTATGCTTCATTAAGTACTAATACAAAATTTTATTAAAATAAAACCATTTAAACTGGGTGTTCGGATTTATATGTCACTTAGTATATGTGGTAATTACAAGGGCACATTCTAAACCAAATTTAAGTAGTAGTAGTTCGTATAAATGTAGGGCGTACCCAGCTCAAAACGGACGGGGGGCACATTGAAAAATAAAATTTGGTGGTTTATAGTTCAGTCATTTATTTTAACAGCTTCTAGAACTCGTCAAGACAAGTTGATATACCAAAAACCAGCTATCTAAAAGTTGCATAATAAGAGAGTTAGTTTAAAAATTATTTAAAAAAATCATTATCAAGTTAAATGGATACCGTTTTTATAAAAACTGTTCAAAATTGTCCCCGTTTGTTCCAGAGTACTTACTGCTCCATCATGATTTCAAATAGCCTCACAGAAAAAAATCGCAAGGCGTTAAGTCCGGGGAGTGAGCAGGCCTATCCATCTATTCGGAAACTAATTATTTAGGCATTTATTTTAAAATGTGGTGAAGCCCCACATATTCTGTCTCACATTGAGAGTAACATCTTCTAATAATTATGGCAGATTTTGTCGAAGAAAATCTAAATACGAGGGGTGTCTTTTAAGTTTTGCATATGGAAATAAAACAACACGGTAGGTAGTTTTAAATGACTTTATTGTTTTTCGAAGTGTTCTCCACGAAGATTAATACACATCTGCATGCGATCGAACCAATTTTCGAAGCACTTATTCCGCTCGTTTGCTGTCAAATCCAAAACGGCATTTTTGAATGCGTCAACTGCTCCTTCTGTTGACTGGAACCTTCGACGACGCGGTCTGTTTTTAATTTTCGGGAAAGTAAAGAAATCGTTAGGACTTAGGTCGGGACTATATGGAGAAAGGTCCAATAACACTGGACAACAAATTTTAGTTTTTTAATTGTATCTTGTGGGAAAAGTTCACTTCTTTGTTAATTTTGGGGCGCTGAATCCAAAAATGACAATGCAATAAAAAAATTAGTTGCGGTTTAGAAAAAAAACTTTTTATTTTTAAGGATATATTAAAAAAAGTAACAAGATTCATATACTTATAAGAATCACTATATGCGCTGTCTTTTTGCTGTTCTTTTATGGATCGTTTCTGGAGCATCTCTACCAAGAGTCGAACAGTAGTCTGCAAGCATGGAAGGATTCCACTTTCCCTGGTACCTTTTTTCCATTGTTGAAATATCCTGATGAAAACGTTCGCCGTGCTCATCACTTACGGCTCCGCAATTTTCAGGAAAAAAGTCCAGGTGTGAGTGTAGGAAATGTATCTTAAGAGACATATTACAGCCCATCTTTTGATACGATGGCAGCATATTTTTGACAAGGGTTTTATAGTTGTCAGCTTTTCTATTTCTCAAGAAATTAGTGACCACCAGACGGAAATCATTCCAAGGAGTTTTTTCAATACCTGTTAAAGTGTTTTCAAACTGTGTATCTTTCAAAATATTTCAAATCTGTGGTCCAACAAAAATACCTTCTTTAACCTTTGCCTCACTTAGTCTTGGAAATTTCTGACGCGGGTATTGAAAAGCTGACGCATCTCTATCTAATGCCTTGACAAAGTTTTTCATTAGGCCCAACTTGATATGCAGTGGTGCTAATAAATTTTTTTTCGAATCTTCTAATGGCATATGCTGTACATATTTTTGACCTGGCTCTAGGAATTCACGAACAGGCCAGTTTTGTCTGGTGTAATGAAGTGCCTTTGCCCGACTATCCCATTCACACAAAAACAGCAAAACTTTGTGTAGCCTAGCTGCAGCCCTAGTAAAAGTGCAACAATTTTCAAATCGCCACAAATATGCCATTGGTGCTCATCGTATTTTATGCATGTCAATAGGTACTTCATATTGTCATATTATGATTCTTTCATGTGAACTGCATACCCTACAGGAAGAGATGGTAAAATATTTCCAATATGCAATAACACTGCCTTTAAACTCAATGTTGAACTGTCTATAAACAACCTCCATTCTTCTGGGTTATAGTTTATATTTAAAGCCGCCAGTAAGCCGTTAATGTTACTGCAGAAAACCAAGTTATTCTCCATATTGAAAAATGGTTCTAAATCTTTGTGGTGTTTACGAAAAACACATACCGAAACATCGTCTTCTAACAAGTTTCACTGCTGCAGTCTTGATCCAAGTAACTCTGCCTTACATTTTGGAAGTTCTAAATCTCTTACAAGATCATTTAATTCTGACTGTTATTTTGTGCGGTTGGTGGCATGGCGTGCTCGGTATAAAATCAGGATCTCTTGACGTTGATGGCATATCTTCTTCCAGACGAATCACTCGATCGCCATGATCTGATTCGCAAGTGTAGGATTCTGGGGGTTTTGTAATAGGATTTTCGTCACTGTGAGGCACAGGTCTCATCGCAGATGGTATGTTTGGGTAGTTAATAACCGATTTTTTTTTCTTGCACATACCTGTGGCTTGTCCAACACAAGGTACCATGCAAAAGTAACAATCATTAATATGATTTGTAGGCTCTCTCCAAACCATTGAGACAGCAAAGCGCATAGACCGTTTTTTGCCATTTAACCAGCTCCTCAGACTTGAAGCACATGTATTACAGCAGATGTGGGGTGCCCACTGTTTGTCTTGATCACCTAGTTTACAACCGAAATAAAGCTGATATGCCTTTGTTATTAGTGGAGTAATGAGACGCAAAAGTCACATCACCACACACGTAACAAAACTGATCTGGATTGTTTACACACTTTCGAGACATCTTGCATGGACGCTGTCAGCCAACTGAGGAAAAAATGGCTAATATAAAACAATATAATGTACACGTATGTATAACGTAACACAATCATGCCGCTTACATTATCTTTCCTTGCCGAATATAAAAATGTAGCACGTGCATTCTTGTGCATTACAGTATATTAACACTGTCACAGCAGGAACACATATAATTACCGTATCTCTAAAACTTGAACTAATATTGAAAAAATAAGTTTCATTCCGGTTTTAGCACATTAAAAATAGTAATATTTCGTTGATTTTATTTAGGATATTTTTTTGCTGTGGATCAGTGTAATTGTCGACTGATGTGGCGCTTCGTTGCCGAAAACACAGTGACTCAGCAAGGCATTCTTGTTGCGATAATTGTCTCTGAAAGTTGTAATAAATTATGGCGCGAAAATGTTCTCGGTTGAAT